CCAAATATACAGAGGAAGGAGAAAGAGAATCCTTCCCAAGGAAGAATAAGCACCATTTCTGCAGCAGGAAGACTCGCCTCACCAACCATTTTCGGGAGTGCAATTTAGCTGTTATTCAACACGTTGACTCTCAAAAACACTTCTGACAGCATCAAAGGTCCATGAGAAGGAAGATCCTTTTACAGAGGACCAAGCAGCAGCATTCTGTCAAGCTATAGCAGAAGGAAAGGTGGGGCTGCAGGACCATTCCATCAGCTTGCCTGGAGGACCAGCCCCATTTAGCTCCTTCCTCCATCAACTGCCACCTGGCAGAGGGAGAGGGGGGAAGCAGGACCACTCCATCAGCCCTGCTGAGATCAGCTCTGCTTGACTCCTCCTTCCCTCCATTCCAGCTGATCAATATAAGAACTGACATGTGTGACTTCAGGAAGCAACCCTTAGATTGTAAACTTGTGGTCAGCGACTGTCTTGTTTCCATTGATCTTATGTAAGTTCCTGCGGGGGAGGGGGGGCTTACTTAAAACATTTAAGTTGTGCAGGCCGGTTAGGAGCATCCTCAGAAACACCACCATCCCTGGGCCCGGCTGGCAAGTTTTTTCAATGATCCGCCCAGCCAGCACAACTCTTCTCCTTGATAAAAATCACTCAGCACTGACAAGAGGCAAAAAGCCAGGTGTCTACAGGCCCCACTGCTTACCACCTGACAAGTTCATGGAAGGGAGAGGGTACTTCCATGGCCCAGGAGACACTGAGAGGGAACAGATGCTATGCAGCACAGCACCAGAAGCATCCTCTTCTCCTCCACCACTGGAGGAGGTCAAGGCTCCTGCTGCATTAAGAAGGGTTGTGCCACGTCCAGGGCTAGGCAGGGCCAGAAATGATGGCTATGGGCACTGAACATATCCATCATCCATTTGTCTGTCTAGCACTACATTATCACACTTTAATCCATCTCTGGATTATATTTGTGCAGTGCATCCCTTTGTGGGTGGGATCTTTTTAATGCATTTCTCCTTCCTCTTGGTTTTAACGTGTCTATGTGGGGCTTATTGTCGATTTGTTTGGTTGGAAGTCGCTTTGGGTTGCCCTAGGCAAGATGAAGTGACTGACAAATTAAAGGAATGAATAAATAAATACAATGTCTGAAGCACAGCCCATTTTGGCCCTTAGGACCAGCTGTAGGGGACTGAGGACTTCTCTCCAATGAGACTAGAAGAGCAACGCAAGAAGATCTGAAGAATGGTCAGGGGGACAAGCCAGTTACAGTCCTGAACTGGGGAATGCCTCTTAGATTAGGGGTGGTGAACAGGGGTCCCTTCAGCTGTTGCCAAATTGCAATTTGCATCGTTGCTGACCATTGGGACATGCTGGCTGGTGCTGAAGTCCATCAAAATTTGGAGGGCAACAGATTCACCACTACTGTCCTAGGGGATGCAGACAGTGTGTTGTGGGAAGGTGATCTTCAGCTCACTCTTTATTTTCACCATAGCTACTGTTGGCCAATCAGGGAACCAGTTGGGGACAAAATGCTGGACTAGTTAGACCCTTTGCCTGAGCACAGAATATACAGTTTCTCGATATGTTCACTTCCTCAAGAAATGACTCCAACACCCAGGGGCTCAGTTGCTCCCCCCTCCACACACCTCCCCTAATGCCTCTCTTTAGGTATTAGTTCAAGAAAAACATAAAAATGTCAAAAGTCCAAATCACAAAATTGGGGGGGTGGGAAGAGAAATTGGAAAACATTTTAGAGTGCCCTTACAACAATTAGCACTCCGGAATGCAACATGCATAAAGAAATCACACGTTTAACTGCAGACCGGACCGTAGGGGGTATAAATAAAATGCGCACCTCTATGCCATCACTACTAAAAAGAGAAAAGAAATTCAGCACATTCCAACAAGGTTTGAAACTGTGAAATGGGATTTGCTCAGCCCCCTTGCTCTTCACGGATGGCAAAACACTGGCTCCTAGTGGCCACAAAGATTCTGCAGGCTTTTTTTTCCCTCAAAATGCATTGGCGTCGTAAAGATTTGAAAGCAACTGAAAAGATAAATAAACTCTGAGAAGCAAATTTAATCCCATGTAAATCAATTCAAATGGCAGGAAATCAATTCTTACCCTAAATACATAGTTGTGTTGACTAGCTGTTAGGCTGTTAGTTAGTTAGTTAGTTAGTTAGTTGGCTTCTGTCTGTCGCAAGAGACAATGGAGTGTGTCTCTGAGGGCGAAGTCAAACCGCTGTGTTAGCATAACCAAAGAAACCTCCCTGGGGCGCAAGCCGGGCAAACCACTCTTTATTATACAGTGGCATCCCTTGGCTTTGAGTGTTGGTCAAATTTCTTTTATTTGATCAAAGCCTCATGATAAGCACAGTTCAGGGAAAGTGGTAAGAACATAACGCAAGCCCTGGTTCATCAGCTCTGCAACCTTCCAACAGAGGCAAATGACAGCCAGGAGTAGGAAGCTGGGCCAGGGGGCTGCAGTGGTTGGCAGTGGACCCCTGCTATTGTCCTTTTTTAAAAAAATGCATACAGAGGTTTGGAAACAACAGCATAGGCAACTCCCAATTTACAAGGAGGTTACATTCCAAGGCATCGCGTTCATCAGTGAAATTGCATGTAATTGAAACACGATTGGCAAAGCCTGAAAACACCAGAATCGCTCCCTCCAAACCTCCTTGCTCAAACTCAATAACTCTCCACATGCCTCAGAAGTCGGTGCAAGGGCTCCTGGGGTTGCATTTACAAAAGCTCACGGGATAGCCAGACACTGTTTTCACATTTTCTTTTTTGCCCTCTCTGGGTTCTTTTAGGGCCACATCTGCCATTTTTAAAGTCACTTTGGGGTTCAGTGCAATGCGCACTTGCGCAGTTGCAAATCAATTGGCTATTGCCGGTACCAAAAGATGCACATAGCTCCTGAAAAAGTGACAAACATCTGGAAAAAATAAATAAATTGCTAGCCCATTTGAGAATTTACTGTGCAGAACTTAAACACCTTAATTTCCTCTCCACTATAATGGATCACAACCTTTTACCACCATTCCGTGAAATTTAAAGACAGAGAGAGGATTCAAAACTCTTTGACCCAAGAAGAGCACATGAATCTTTACCCAAATTAAAATGTACGCTACTTTCTCTCTTTTTCTTCTTTAATGTGACCTCCGAAAGGAGAGTCACTCTTTCAGAACAGAAAGTGTCAGTCTAAATTAATCCTCACCGGCTTATACTGCACTGTATAATCTGCAATTGCCTTTTTTTAAAAAAGCACATAGGTCACCACATGTATTAAGGCAACCAAATATGAAATTAAACTTTTCATAGACTCTGTGAGACACCAGAGTAAAGTCAGTCAGAGATGACTATCCAAATAATCGCCCAAGCACTTAAATTAAATCTAAAATTACAAAGTACGCATTTTATCTCCCCGAGGTTTTCAAGTGTTAGGGTGGAGTAATTTCTCTACCACTCTTGCAGGCATTTCACACACTCTTTTCTAAGAGAGGGCCAAAAGGGCCTTAATTTGCCTTTTCAAAAAGCGAACAATAGCTCAGTTTGTCTCCACAGCACAAACTCTTGTACTCTGCCAGATGCATTTTGCTTCAAGCAAAGCTGATTATACAGCACGAGGAAACCGGCTATTCATTACATCATATTTAGGCTTCAAGAGAGCAGTATTCACAAGGTGGTTGTTAACAGCGTTTTTAACAGTTTAAATCTTAGGTGTAACTGAAGATGTTTAAAAAGAAACACAAAAAAACCCCAAAGCCTGCTCAGAACCAAAAAAACGCTTTAAATACTCGCTGCCTCAGGGAAGAGAACCCCTTTCATGTATGGCTGTCTGACAGTTCGCTTGATGCACAACAAAATGCATCTGCAAAAATGGCAGTCATTCCTTGAAATAATTAGCTCAGACTAGACAGGGAGCAAGGACCAGATAGATATGCAGTTCTGTACGTATTTAAAAAAAACTCGACTGCTTTGCATACCTCCTGCAGATGCAGAGACATGTGTCCCAGCTGATCCTGACGTCTTTCAACAAGCTGCCTTTCTGAGCGGATTTCTCGTTCTATCTCCTGAAGCCTCCTCTCCACCTGTTCCGACACCTTCAATGAAAAAGGTGGGTTGGGGAGAAGTGAAATTCTTCCGTTAGCATGGCACTGAAAGTTAAAAATAAAATAAAAAATACCACTCGTTTTTCTAGCAAAGTAAATGCAAAGGCCTAAATACAATTGTGAAGTCCTCCGTCGGTTAGCAATGAAATGCCTATCTGCCTTGTGGTAAAGAAGACGAAAAGCGAAAGGGGGGAGGGCACAGAAACAAGGCTGGGGCAAGCTCCACTCAGGTTGTCTGTGCCCTCCAACACCAGCTCCCTTCATAGGGCCAAGAGAAACACCTGTCCCACGGGAAGGAGAAAGAAAGCAAAGCGAGTAAGCAAAGACAACTACCGGACCGGCTCCAGCTGGACTGTCCCCACCTCCCCAAGCCTTGCACTCCATGCCATTTATTTGTCTTAGTCTTTTAAAAATGTAAACTGCCTCAGGTACGTTGGCAGAAAGATGCTACCGTATATACTCGAATATAAGCCGACCCGAATATAAGCCGAGGCACCTAATTTTACCACAAAAACTGGGAAAACTTATTGACTCGAGTATAAGCCGTTCCATCACACCACAAACCTGGTGGTGGCGGCAGTGGCGGAGGAAGAACAAGCAGCCCGAAATGGCTGCTTTCAGGCTGCTCGTTCCTCCTCCGCCACCGACAGCGGTAAAGGCGGAGGCGGAAGGAGCAGCCCGAAAGAACCCTCACTCGAGTATAAGCCGAGGGGGGCTTTTTCAGCACCAAAAATGTGCTGGAAAAGTCAGCTTATACTCGAGTATATACGGTATATAAATGCAGCAAACAAATTTGGGCTGCCTTGGGGAGTTTGGAGACTGAGTCTCATTGTACGGTTTGATTCACATGGGACCCCGGCCGAAGGCAGCATTTTCTTTGGAGTCTGTGGCGCAATGGGTCCGTGCGTCTGGCTGTTAACCAGAAGGTTTGTGGTTGAAGCCCACCAAGGGATGGTTATGGGCAGGATTCACGCATTGCAAGGGGTTGGGCTAGATGACCCCTCATGGTCCCTTCCAATTCTACATTTCTATGATTCTATAAGTCTTTCTCTCCCTTGCCTAATTTCAGGGCCTTGCCCAGGGCATTTGGGTGGAGCCGAGACAGGGAATGCTGCTTAATTCACTTGGGGGCGTATCCTGAGCCACGAAGAACTTAAAAAGCATTGCAATCAATCTGCATCTGCTAAAACCCGAAGTCTCTTCGGTAACAGACTGGGTTCTTTTGACCCATTGACCACTGCCACACGTGAGCTTTCCTCCTTGTTACCATGTAGTGCTTTGCATGCGAGTACAAGGTTAATAATAATAATAAATTTTATTTATACCCCACTCTTCCCGGCCAGAGCCGGGCTCAGGGCGGCTAACACCAGTAAAATTACAGTAAAAACATACCCGGGGGGGGGGACCCCAATTTAAAAGACAGGTTAAAATGCAATTTAAAATGCAGCTTCATTTTAAAAGTAGCCCATAGATCAAAACCATAAGGGGAGGGAAACATAAGGGTCAGACTGAGTCCAAACCAAAGGCCAGGCGGAACAGCTCTGTCTTGCAGGCCCTGCGGAAAGGTGTCAAGTCCCATAGGGCCCTAGTCTCTTGTGACAGAGCGTTCCACCAAGTCGGGGCCAGTACTGAAAAGGCCCTGGCCCTAGCTGAGACCAGTCTAACCACCTTGCGACTTGGGACCTCCAAAATATTTGAACACAAAAGGCAGGAAAAGAAAGCTTCAGAGGAACAGGCCATTATCATGTCTGCGTGTGGCATGTCTGCACCCACACGGTACATGAGCAGCATTTGGGTGAAGAGAATCTCAACTTTCTTCTTCTTAGAAGGGAAAAAAAGCAGGAGGAACATTTGATCACAGCCTTGAACATATAGCCTGGAGAATCCTCAGAAGCCAGAGTTGGAATGAGCTGGAAATCTGGTCACAAGTGAGGCTCCACTGCCCTGCATAGCTATTTCTCACAACTCAAAAAAGCACAGCTAATTATGACAAAAAAATATGCAGAACTTGTATTAGTCTTAGAATCCAGCAATATACTTCTTACAAATTTTTATCTTGTGGAGCTTAATGCGTCCCCAAGTGTTCTCCCATTCAGATCCTGACCTGCTTATTTACAACAAGGTTGCAGCGCCATGTGCCTTCAAACAAAATGTGTGTGAGTGTGTGTGTGTTGACAAATCCTTGGTCAAGTATGATCACACTGCCACCCTAACAGAGCAAAGAGAGATTCATAGGCGGAAGCAGGTTTCACAAGCCTGCAGGTATTCCAGGTGCAAATGTGCATCTGGATGACAAGACTCACATTTGGACCACATTAGAATGGCAGGATGAGTCTTTTGATGTGGATGGAAATGTGCAACCCCATCTAGGGTCACTGGTTGTACACATGTGGAACTGGATCAGAGACAACTTACCATAATGTGAAAATTAGATTTTTGTGAAACCACACTGAAATTCCATATGCCACTGCCAGGATTTTTGTTGTTGTAACTTTGCTAAATGACAAATCAAGAACTGAACTAGAATAGCCTCTGGCCTTAAAATAATAAAAAATATGACTGAATGAATCAGTAACTGCAGTAATATGATCAGAAGAATTATTTGCTGTAATTATTTCTTTGCTTTACAGGGAAAGAAAACAGGAAAATAATACTTCCCTAGATTGCGGTTTTCATTCTTTCCTTTCCTCATCTATTTGCAGACACTGCCCTCTAGCAGTGAGCAGGGAGTTAAACATTCTATGCAAACATGGGACTTATTATAGCTTTATGGTAGTTATTGCTTTTTATTGCAGTTTCCATGCTGCAGAACTGTATTCATGGCGTCATAGTACATTTTGCAGCAACATTTATCCATATGATTTGCAAACAATAAATGTTAAGTCATATTTGGAGTTGGCACTACAATCATAACCGACGTCCACAATTACGAAGGTTAGATGTAGTATAGGTTGTGTTTTTCTTCCCAAAATGTCTGCACTTACTGAAACTATGCTATAGTTTCCACCGTCTTTAAACTGCTTCTTTACCATTTACACTTGGTTGGAATTGCCGCAACAAAAAGGTCAGCCCTAAATTCATAATTTAACCGAACACACCAATGTCATCTCCTTGGCTTGAGTCTCAAAGTGCCCTTTCGCTCGCCAAAAACACCACCTACTCATGGAAGAACAGTTTTCAACCTGGAAGAAGGAGGATGTGGAAGGAATGACCCCCAAATTCAGCAAAGTCCTTGCCAATGCTCAGACTCTTATGCAAGACTTTGCACAAGGCCTTTTTCAATGAGCAACTAGAGTTTATATGCTGAACACCCTGTATCTTCCTTGTTCACCTTGCTAATCACGTTATAATGCAATTCCTAGTTTAAACGCATGCAAATGGGAGACTTTTTTTTTACAGTGCAGCATCACAGAGCTGACGAAACAGCAGCAATGCTTTTCCCCCTTCTGCTCACGGTTCTTCGGAACCGAACCCATGTTTTTAAAAACACCTAAGATTGTTATATATATAGTCCTTTATTTCATTGGCATTCTGTGTTCTTTGCAAAAGCAATCTGAGCTACACTGTTGTGGAAAGAACTCTCCTTGCTTTCTCTTTTAGGGAAAGACATTTAAAAAGTATCAAGAATGGATGATTAATCCATGATTACTGAAGGTTAATTCCCGATTTATTGGAGCCAAATTACTTTTCAAACAACATTAGATGGAAGGTTTTCAAGCAACGCTCCAAAAGAAACCAATCATTACAAGTACTTAAAAAACAGCACGCTAGAGTCAAGGGCAGTTAAAAGTCTAAGCAGCTGTAGCCATGGAACAGAACTTGAGAGAACTGAAATTGCAATCCACAGTATGCAATCAACAGGAACTTCAGTCAAAAGAATAAAAATACGTAAACTTCCAACACAGGAATTCCAAGGATGAAACACCAAATAAGGAGGGGGCAGAGGCTGTATTCTAGAAGTGTCGGGGAGACAGTTGCCCCAACTCACAACCAGCCCCTTATGCAGGCAATGGCGGCATACAAGGCTAAAGCACAACTACACATGTCGGACATGAGACAGGTGTTTTCGGGCTTGTGCTGCTCTAGCAAATGCAATCCAACAATAGACGGAATTTTGCTTCTGCAGAACACACGGCAGTAGAATCAGAAAACCCACTTGAGAATGCGCCACTGCATCCATTTGCAAGCCAAGGGTTCCTCATTTGTATTTAGGTCACAGGTCCTTACAGTTTGTCCAGCTCTGTTCACAAAGCTCCCTCGAGTTTCAAGAACAGCTTGTTGAGCAGCACAAGTGGATGCTGCCGGAGGTGAGGAGAGTGTCAAGAGTCCTGCTGCACACACATGAAAGGGCTGAAGGGAGGGGGAGCCCAACCAGAGGGAAAGACACAGGTTAGCCACCCCTGCTCCATGGCCTGCCCTTTGTCAATAGAGGATCAGGTCTATAAATCTCTCAAATTCCACGCTTCACTGAGACCAGCACAAGATCAGAAGATGGTGGCACATTTGTTGGTTGCCTGCGCTGCACACCTATGGGTTTCACTCACAGCGAAAGAGGTCTTCACACTGCTTCTTGATGCTTCGCTCCAGAGTCCCAGTCTCTCTTTGCAAAGCCTTGAGGTCTTTAAAGCTTGAGAGCCTAAATCTCAGGTAGAGTACCTAGACTTCACAGTCCAAAGGTCATCTGGGCAGAGTAAAAGGACACTTGGACAAAGGACTATACAAAGACATAGCAGAAGCCAAGACTGGCTGCTGAGGCCAAAACAGTCCTCATGGCCATTCCCAAATTCTCATCGTTAAACTATTCAGCCACAGCAGCCAAAGCGGATTCCCAGAGAGAAGCCAAAAGGCAAAGGCATGCCATGTTCCGCAAAGTGCTGGTGAGAGTCAACTCTCTGAGATGCCTTCATCCCCAACCCAAACAAGCAATACTTGTGACTGTCTGGGGAAGGGATCTCGCCCCCACCCCCTTCCCCAACCCATCAGCACTGTTTCAATGACAACTATTAAACTGGTGCTGCTCATGTGCATTTAAGCACCTGTGGGAACCATCCCTAGCACCAGGATGGGGTGTGGAGATGCTAATTCTCTAGCTAATGCTGTAGACGTTTCCAAAGCTGCTATGTGCAAGCAAAGATCCCATCTGCGCACCTGCACAAAAGGGAATACACACATAGTTTCTGGGAAAGCTCAATTCATAATATGGGGGCACGTTGCTGGACCATGCACAAGCCTTCGATTTATAATTTCATTAATTGTTCGAACTACCACTTTCTACTAAGTTGATTTCATAAATTTTATTAACCAGCAGATGCCCCCATTGCTCATTCCACTTGTCAGCTCATCCACCAACCCCTCTGCCAACTGCCCTTGCCCCACACCTAGCCAAACCCCCTTCCCTTTACACCGCACCAACCTCCTCATCTGTCCCTTCACAACTTGCTTGTTTGTAATGAAAAATAAACTGAGACCTTTTTTCTGCATTCCTTGCTGCTCCTTTAAAACCTAATGAAACATGAAAATTCCTCAGCACTAGAAGTTAAACGGGAAAAATAGTAATTATGGCTGCATTAATTCTGTCTCAAAAAGGATATTCTAAAATTCTATCCCATAACAATATAATTCTGATTTATTCAACATCCAAGTTGGAAAGGTATTCTTGTAACATAATTTTGCCTAAATAATACCCCTAGTTGTGTGACTGGACTCACTTAGAACAAGTTATTGTTGATGCAAAATTCTTTCTTAACATATGATCCAATAACTGCTGCTTTGTCTAAGCTTATGTCACCAAACAAACTTTATCAATTTCATCTTTGTTACTGTGAGCATTCGTTAAATATAGCACTGCGTCATCTGCAAAAAAAAAAAAAAATCCATACCTGCTCTCTGCTAAAACAAAATAGTTACAGTGTTTGTGTAAGTTGCAGAAGTTTTATTAATTATTGCAAAATTCA